CGAACGAGAACACAGGTTTGGACAATGTGTTTGGACATAACACTACAGAATATCTTGGTTAAATCTGGGAACCATACAGTAAACACCTCATTTGCAAAATGAGGTGTTTCTTCATTTACACACCAATCATTCTCGTTCACTTATCTTCGACCTTCTTAACCTTCTGCCACCAAGCATTTCACTTTCGATTGATGATACATACTTCTCCGGATATCTATTTTCTTTCAGGGTCGTGTACAATGCCTTTATTTCATCTTCAACCACATCTTGATTCTATGGTGCAGTGTCGTAATTAATTTACTTTTGTATTGTAGAGGAACTAATCTAAGAAATTTTTTATATCGGCCCGTTCAAGTGGTTTTCTTGTTTGTGTTTCTTCTCAATGGCTTAACTTTTCTCCTTGTAAGTAAAACATCTAGATAGACTATTCTTCTTCCATTTTCTTCCTCACATGTGAAGTTTATGGACGGATGAATTGTATTGAATTGCTTAAGTGTTATTATGAAGCCAATATGGTTGTTGCAAAGGATAAACGTATCATCCATATATCGGTTGTAAAATGAAAACTTATCAATCTGGGTCGTTTTCTAGATTAGAGCGAAAAATATCAGCCAATATCAGACGTAGGGGTGTACCCATCGCGACACCATCTATTTGTCTATACATTTCACCATTGAGTTTGAAATGTACATTAATTGTACATTTTAGTAATAATTCTTTAATGATCTCTACAGGGATTGTAGTTTATATTTCTTGTTGTCTAAGTTGTTCACAAACATATTCTACAGTCTTTCTGAGTGGGACATTTGTGAATAATGACGTTACATGAAAGGACATCATCGTTTGACCTTTCGTGTTTATGTATTTGATCTTGTCGACGAACCGGAATATATCCTTAATTCTATTCTTCACCAGGTGTTTGTGAAGTGGTTTTAAAACATTTTAGAACTGTTAATGGACTAATATTATGTATATATTCCTATTGCATAACTGTTTTGTAACTATGTATGTCTATGTTCCTATTATTATAAGCTTCATTTCGGCCTATAGATTATTATTATACGATTAATTGTTCCTAAATTATGTTCAGTCCATTAACTACCGTCTCCCACGTTCACAGCCACTTTTTGGCTTGATTTTGTATATATGTTATTTCCTATTTTATAGTGTAGTACGGTTTGTTTGCCTGGTATGTAAACTAATTATGTTTGAAATAAATGATTCGCATAGTGTGAGCTGTAATCGGTGTTCTGGACTCGACTGGATGGGCTACGCGAACAATGGATTAATAAGGATGCTAGGCGGATCATACCGGTCGGACGTCTTTGGTTTGGCGCAATACTAATATTGAATAAGTCGTATTTCGATTGGCGAATAAATCACGTGGTAACTAGCCGGACTTAAAGTCAAGACACGTACAGTTTTAAATCTTACTGAGGTGAGAATATAATACCTTTGAACGACGCCAGACCAACCTTGAGAGTTTTCACCCAATAACTAGAACCAAATGAGGGTTATAAACCTGTGTCAGGAATTAGAATTACGATTCGCAGTTGATGGTTAGGGTTAGGAATTACATTTAGGTTTTTCATCACGAACTGACATCAGCTATAATGCCAAAACTCTATTTATCCGAATCAATGAGTGAATTTCGCACTAAAATCCAGGACCTGTTATTGTATACCTGATTGATTCGTCCATAAATTATAGTCTCGCCCTTACTGAAATGTAGGATTTTTTTTAGTTTATCGATGTTTTACTAGTTCATTGAAAATATGTTTAATTACTTCAAAAATATTAAAAAGATTCAAAAAACCTTTTGGTAAAGATTAAAACAAAATTAAGTACTGACCTTCAGATTTTTTATATTATTTATTTTGCTTAATATATTGAAAGGAGATATTACAAAAATAAATCTAAATGAGTAACTTGACCTCAATAATATTAGTTCAATGTTATATAGATCACACGATCAATGATTAATTAACATCATGCTGGTAGGAAATGACTTTATTAGATGTCGATTGTTTAAGTAATAAGTATGTTTTTCTTAAATTCCTTTTTTTGCTTCAATTCATGCGGTTTTGTTATCGACATTGTTCTATTTCTCTTCATTGCACTTTTCAGTTGATTAGAAATCTTACGAAACATTAAGTTTCCATAATAAAAATCACTTGTTTTCTCTTGATACTTATGAAACTTAATGAGCCATGAATTGCTGAAGGTGTAGTAATGTACATGTTATAGCTTTGTATTGTTCAGTACCATAAGTTGGTTATTATTTCATCATTTCATCTAATGACATCATTTCTAAATAGAAAATATTACGGTTTCGCTAAAAATAAAATGATATTCCTTTAAACGCTTAAAACCTTAGGATACACCATTGGTTGGGCACTTTTTGGAAAACAGATGATCCAATGAGAATGTAAGTTAAAGGCTAATAAGAAATTTGAACGTCTGCCCATTCTTTTAAGTATTAAGGCTGTACTACTTAATGATTGTCTAGTAGTTAAAAATATAAAGCTAAAAACCGATGAGAGGATAGTGAAGATAATCTACGTTTTTAGCTCTACGGAGATCATGACCAAAAAACGTTTTACCCAAGGAATGTAATGTTGGGTGTCAGAGTTACAGACTAGGTTATTATAGTACATTCTATCGTTTAAATTTCCTGTGAATGTTCCGTCAGTATTAATAAAGTTGTCATTCACATATAGTGTTTTACACATAATAATATATATCAGTCCTAAACAATAAAGACAGTTCGCTTCGTTATTAAAAATACATTCAGATTTATATAGTTGACATGAATCATCCTAATTACAATCATCCCTTATCTACAATAAGTAAAATGAAGTCACTGGAGATGATAAAATAAATAAGAACAAGTTAAAATCATAAAAAGATGAATGCTTAATAAACTAGACTAAACAGTTTCACTTATCCTTGTCAAGATGAATATCATTATTAAAAAACATTTTGTTCAGAATAATTGGCCATAATTCAAATATTCATGTTAAAGTGATTGACTGAATACACCTAAGTTTATTTCTTCATTTAGTTGCTTTGAAGATTAATGTTATAATGGATGAAATAATTAAGATATCATTTTATATTATAAGTAAAATCTTCCTTTTTTATAGGTAAAATATAACTAATCCTATCCAAAATAGTACATTTGACGAGTATATTCATTTAACCTATTTACTATCCTTTATTACGGTACAATGTGATTTTATGAATCTAGATTTGTTTTACAATTCATTTAGAGAAATAGAACAATCTACATGATTGTGATTGTCAGATGAAAAAAAGAGTACAGTTAACTAAGCAAAGAAATTGCTTTTACTGATAAGAACGAAAAAACATACATATCTGTTAAGAATAAACATTAAATTTTATGAATTCCTGAAGTGATGAGCACCACAACTAATCAGTAATCATAGAAAAATAAAGAATGACTAAAACAACTAACCAGTTTTTATAATTTTAGTGAACAAATATGTGACATTCTTAGTTGAGATCATGAGTCAATTGAAGCTAAACCACCATGGAAAGCCTCGAAGCACTGGACGGCGGTTTTGTCCTAATATGGAACTCCTCAGCAGTGCACATCCACGATCCCAACCCCCGCGAGATTCCAACACAGGACCTATCAGCACCGCTCGCGATCACTGAATCACTAGACCATTCAGCAGGCAGGCATCCAACGGTGTTAATTTCTAACTCCAACCAATTCACGAAATCGATCGACACATCCACCATTGTCTTCAGTGAGTAACTATCTCACAATAGACCTGGTTGAACTTCACTGGTCACTGCTTCTCACTAGAACTCCAAGAAATACCTCTTGAAGTCAATCACTAGTGAGCAGATGACTATAATCAGAAAATGTTTTGTGGAGATTCTTAGAAATTTCAATAGTTGAAACCATGAGTCAGTTGAATCTAGACCACCATAGAAATTCTGGGTTCGAATCTCGCGGGGGGTGGGATCGTGTGTGTGCACTGCTGAGGAGTCCTATACTAGGATGAAACGGCCATCCAGTGCTTTGAGGTCTTCCATGGTGGTCTAGCGTCAATTAACTCATGATTTCAACTATTGAAATAAATATTTATTTGTATTTATTTCACTGTGATTATGCACCAAACATCAACTTGTTGTGCGAATTACTTTAAAATTTCCTAACATGTCTTCAATAAAATAAGTTGAAAATGACCCAAAGAAAGTAAAAACAACCTAATAATCTTTGCTATACATTGAAACATGTTCTTTATAAATATATATATATATATATATATATATATATGAGTGATTCATCTATTCTAAAATGAACATGAATATATGCTTTCACTATTACCTGGAGTAAGATTAGTAACAGTAAAGATAATAAAATTAGAAATGTGGATTAATTAATGTCAAGTAAGTGGATCCTGAAGATAAGGAATTGAACTTTTAGTAAACCAATTAGTTTACAAAACTGAGAAGTCTCAAACTAGAATATATATATATATATATATATAATACTTCCTAATTTATAATAATTATTCAAATGAAGGTAATTCGTTATTCAAACTAGAAAATAATCAATTTCTAGGATCCCTCTCTCTATATTTTCACGTTTATAATTTGGACAGAAATTACTCATATTGCAAAAAAGAAAAACGAAACAAATTCTTCAATATTGAATATATTTAAATAGTTTTATAATGTTAAACAAACTCAATTAAATGTCTAAGCAAGTAGATATGCTCACTAAACAAATATATATATATATATATATATATATATATATATATATATATAGTGAGGAAAACAGATCATTGGTTACTTTGTAACTTTTTTATCCTTGATCATTCATTTGTCAATCGACAAGTAGCTTAGACATAATAATTTGTTTAAATATTTTTATATGTAAATACTTTGTCTTCAATATTCCAATCTACCTGTATAAAAACATTTACTTAGTCTTTCATTCTTCAAAAGGTTGTTTTTTCTTTTAATCTCTAAGCCAAACCATTCATTTCAATAAATTTACAAGTGAATTCAAATATTTCAAATTAAATTCTATCTTTTTTGTTTTAAAAAAAAGAGATAAAACATTTAAACATTATTAATATTGAACATTGATTTCTTTTTTATAAATTTCATGAAAGAAGAAATAAGTGAACGATTTATAATGGTGAAGTTTTGTTATTCGATCGTCAAAATTGTAACTCGTATTCTACATTAATCATTTAGTGTACTTCATAACTATGAATGTAATTGTTAGATATTTATGAATTTTACATAATGAAAACAAAGAGGAATTATCAATATTGAATAATGAACAGTTTAATTTTTTCATTAAAAAAATTTGGTGTATTTAACTTGTACGAAAACAATAATAATAATAATAATAACAATCAAACTAGTAATTTTTAACAAAAAAGAAAGTAAGTTTCATATTTCATTTTGAAGGTATCACATTGTTTTCGTTCTTTCTTTCTTTTTGTTGTTGTTGAAGTATTTTTTTGGTTGTTTATGAAACTAAAATACTATTCAGTAATTATAATAATATTAATAATTTTGTGGAATGGTTGAAATTAGACATTAACATTGTTCAATGGTGTTTAAATGGTTTAGAGGTTAAGCGTTCGCGCAAAAGATCGAAAGTTCTGAGTTTAAATCCCATGAGCGAGATTATGGATGTGTACTCCTAAGGAGTTTTGTACTAGGATAAGACAGTTGTTTAATGCATCTAGGTTTTACATGGTGATCTAGGTTTAATCGACTTATGAATTCAACTATTAAATAATAATAATAATAATAATAATAACAATCATAAATAAAGGATGCCATAAAAGCGGTTAAGTTTTTCACTGAAGTAACTTTCACATTCGTAAATGTTTTATGTATTTTTTGATTCTCCAGTTTTGAAATTGAGTTATATTGATTATGAGATTATTTTTTAGAACTTGTTTTATTGTAATGTTACAAGCTGTTGTACACTATGGTTATCTTAAAATTACCGTATATATATATATATATATATATATATATATATATATATATATATATATATATATATATATATATATTAAAAACGTTTGATAAGTTCCGTATTCAATAACCAAATAATGTTATATCTTTGATGTTCATATAGTATGCATAAATTAATAAATGAACAATTTAGCTGAAACTGTATGAAACAATTCATTTAATATTGTTTATTTGAATCTTTCCATTGATGTTTAGGATTGTAACCGATCAGTTTTTTATTGTCATATGTGCATACTTTGAGTATTACCTTAAATCAAAAGCATTATAAAGAAAGATAGATAGTGGCTAGCGGTGGAATCCATGATGCGCGTTACGTCTTATTTAGGAGTCGTCAACTGGAAGTAATACTTGTTTATTTTATAGCCATTATTTTTCATTAAATTAAACTGTTAATTGGTAATATATTTTTATTTGAGATTTAATTTAGCTGAATAGTGACTAATAATAGGGTGAATTCCTTAACATTTTGATTTGAATCTATTAGTTTTGTAGCTAATCAAGTTAAGAGTAAGTCAACTATCTACTAGTAACATTTAATAATGATAGTGATAATAACTGAAATTTGTGCTGATGATATCGTTTAGAAGAACTATGAAAGCTCCACAATCAAACCATCCAGCTCAGAGAAGAAAACTTCATCAAATTAATACCATAGATTAATCAAAGTTGAAGAGAAATATGAACCATGATATTTAGACAAAGTGATTTGTACATATTGTACTAAACTTCAACCTTCATATTTTCACCTTAGAGTTACTGTTTCAAGTATATTTACTAAAGAATATTCAATATTCAATAATATGTGTGAACAAGTTTATTTTGAAAAAAATATATTTAAACTTAATCAGACCAACTGTAACAAATTAGGAAACTATTTTATTCGTGCCCATTAAGCTTTCTAAACTTCACTTCAATACTTAACATCAAATGATTTCATTTTTTAATGTCTCATACAAACTAATTAGGTCAATGCTTAAGAATTTCTTCTTTTCTTTTTTTTTCAATTTTCAAAGTGTTTCCGGTTTTGTCGTATAAAAAGTAAAAATCCTCATGAAAGACAATTACACAGTTCGTTTATTTATAAACATAATTGTAAAGTCTTCTAAATTATCGGAAAATTTATATTAAGAATATATGAATTTTAATAGTTGTGATCATGAGTCAATTGAAGCTAAACGACCATAGAAATCCTGGAAGCATTGAACGACCGGTTCGTTCTATTGTAGGACTTCTCAGCAGTGTGCATCCACGACCCCGCCCCCCGCGGGATTCGAATCCAGGAGGGATGGGCGTAGGGTTAACCGCTCCATACCATAGAAAACCAACTCGCTATGAAACGCTAAACAGAAAAAATAATTCAAAACTTTTAAACTCTTCTCTGGGAGTTAGAAGGTTTTCATTTAAAGTAGTTATAACGCCTCATGGTTAAATCCGAGTTACTTTGGAAGTCACGAGGTGGATACCCCTTCTGACAACCAGAGCAACCATTAATTTATGTATATGGTATGTTCGTACAATATGTTAAATCGGTAGAGTCATCCAAATTGCTGCAGAAATGAAAAGATACTACCTGAAGGTGCTTGGAATCTCTATGTTTTATGTTTAAAAACAAATAAATCTTACATACTTGTTACCAGGTATAAAATATTTTGTTTTAATTTGTTTTTTGTATATTTAAGACTTTAACAAAACCTGTTGGTCTAGCTTCAACTGATTCATGATCTTAACCACTGAAATTACTATAATATCCATAAAACCCATCTGACTTTAACGAAAGATTTCACTGCTCGAAATGTTCATTTCAGACATTTTCTTTTACATGCTTCGAGCGGTTCATCATTTTATATCGTAAAAAAACTATGAATTAAGTTAACAGGATCTGAATAAAACTAGACAGTTTGATTCCAAAACTAACGAACGGGAGTATTTCCTCATTAATTGTATAATACTACTTATTTCATAACAGTATCTTACAGACTGAGTTTTTTCATTGCTAAACGTCTTCTTTTTATGTTATTATTGACGTCTAGACTACTGAAAATAACTAAAATACTGATTCGGAACTCAATGCATTACATATTTTAGAATTTGTTCTTTTTTTCATAAAGCGATTATATTTACTACTAGTTGATCACTGAGTAGTCATCAATTAACTATAAAATATTTCAGTCCTGTAATAAACTAGTCGTTGCTTGATTAACTCAGCGGTAACTTTTAACATTATGAATTTGGATGATGATGTATTGAATCCATCAAAGAATACTAGTTCCTTTAACATAATAGATACACCTTTTGGGACGCGTTTTTGACAGCATGAATGATGATATCTCTTTTCGACTGGTTTATCAGTAAGATACATAGTTACTTGTATTTAGATTTTAAATGTGATTAATCGTATCGATAATAATAACTAATGATTTTTAATAATGAGTTATATAACTCTAATGATAAAAATACAAATTCCATAATATCTGATGAATGTATTTATAATTGATAATGATGCATGAATTTAATAAATTATCAACATATGATATTGTAAATTAAGTAAACTATTTAAAAAAAGTTTTCTGTCTGATTACTTAAATATTACTTAAGTATTACTTGAATTAAACTAAATAATACCGGAAATCATTAAGAGTAGAAAAATAGAATCGTATGAAACGAAAACAATTTAAAGAAGGTTAGGTTTCAGTGGAGGTGTGCTGTATGCTACTTATGTAGACAGAAGTAGTATATGATGTTAGTCATGAACAGAATGTATGGCAGCAGTGAGACAATAATATCGAACAGTAAAGAATGAAAACTGAATGCAATTTGTATGGAAATGCAAGAACAATGAAGTCTGATTCATTTTGAGACAATTGATGGACATTTCGCAAATTAAGTATTTACTATATGATTGTTAGATTTTATTAATATGTTCTGTAATTTCGTATCAAATGCGTTCGATTGTCCCAATTTGTCTCCTTGTTCACTATAGAGGTATTTAAGTAAATGATATGCAAATGACAGTAGTTTTAGAACCTGGGTAAACAATTAGATAAAACATATTCATTTTTCTACAAAGTTATTAGTGAAAAAACACAAAAACGTTTTGAGTGAATCATAATAACTATTCTTAAAATTGGAATATAAGTTTATTTGATGAAAAGATTTGGTCAAATCTCCATGGATCAAACTGTTACCCATAAAACTTCAACATTGAAAACTATTTTTGAACGCGGTCTTGTATAAATGTTTCATATAAGAGCCAAAACACCTTTCACAGAAATAGGTGAATTGATAAGTGCTAATAGGTATAACCAGATGGCAAAGCTGATATCAAGTTTATGAATATTTGTAGGATATTAGAAATAAAAAAGTCATTCTCATCACTTCAGATTGGTGGTTCCTAAATGAATCCTTTGTTTTATCAACTTAGAATTAATCACTTTCAACATTCATTTGAAGATAATTCTTAAAAACATAACTGTTTGATTGTTAATTACCCATCAATGAAGCAACTAAAATGGCTGTATTAAGATCGAATTTTCGGATAAATTCGAGTCCTTCATCACTATAATCTTTACTACGGTTATAATACATTATATATTGTTGAGTATACATAAGATTATTCTGATTAACTTTACTGTGATTTATCATAAAAAGTTCAACTAACCATTCTATTTTTCTATTCTGTAGATGAATCTTTTCAGAAATTTTATCATCGCATAACACCATAACACAAAACATGTAGAAATAAAATGAATAATTTCCGTTTATCAAACTATCCAATTTGCAAGATAAAAATGTGATAATAAGCAATAATTTAATAGTTGAATTCATGAGTCAATTGAAGCTAAACCACCATGGAAACCCTCGAAGCACTGGACGGACGCGTCGTCCTAATATGGAACTCCTCAGCAGTGCACATCCACGATCCCAAACCCCGCGAGATTTCAACACAGGACCTATCAGCACCACTCGCGATCGCTTTATCACTAGACCATTCAGCAGGCAGGCATCCAACGGTGTTAATTTCTAACTCCAACCAATTCACGAAATCGATCGACACATCCAGCATTGTCTTCAGTGAGTTACTATCACACAATAGACCTGGTTGAACTTCACTGGTCACTGCTTCTCATTAGAACTCCAAGAAATACCTCTTGAAGTCAGTCACTTCTGAGCATATAACTCATAAATTCAATTATATCCACAAAACCTCTCACTGATTATAAAAAGCAATAAAGTGTAATTTTCATCTTTTTTTAATGATGTAATCATAGAATTTATATTACTACATTAAATATACTAAAACATGTTAATGTTTTCTCTAATTTTAGATCACAAATTGATATGGAGAATAAACAAATTTGTGGGTAAATAAGTAAATAAAAAACACAAAAAAACAAAAAAAAAACAAAAAAATAAATAAATATGCAATTTCAATTAATAGTTTGTTTTTATATTCTAATTTATATAAAACAAATTTATTCAAATATTCAATGGATTAATTCAATTTATAATAATAAATCAATTATTAAAAATTATTCAAATTTAACCAATCAGTATTCAAGATCCTATCATAAATTATCATTAGTAAATATAAATAATTCATCAAATACAATTCCATCATTATATACAAATTTAAATTTTAATTGGGAATCTAATATAAATCGTATAACAACAGATTGGGCTGAAAAACGTTTAATTAAAGATTTATTATATGATTATGAAAAACAATCTAGACCAGTTGTTGATGGTTTAACACCAAGAGTTTATGTAACTCCTACACAAATTACACAACAAATTACTGTAGAATTTGGTTTAGAATTATTACAAATATTAGATTTAGATGAAATGGATCAAATTTTAACAACAAGTGTTCGTTCATTATATGTAAGTAAAATATTTATTTATTTATCTTTTTTTTCTTTAATTATAGATGTATATTATTGGATAGATATATTAATTAACCCTCACCACCTCTAGTAAAAATAAAAAACAATACATATAATCAAACAATTTTGTTACCAATTTAATATTTGCTTACTTACTTACTTACGCCTGTTACTCCCAATGGAGCTTAGGACACCGATCAGCATTCTCCGACCGACTCTGTCCTGGTCCTTCCTTCCTAGTTCTATCCAATTTTCGTTCATTCTTCTCATGTCTGTTTCCATTTCTCGGTGTAATGTGTTCTTTGGTCTTCCTTTCCTCCTTCGACCTTGAGGATTCTATGTGAGGGCTTGTCTCGTGACGCAGTTAGATGCTTTCCTCAATGTGTGTCCTATCAACTTCCAGAGCTTATTCTTGATTTCTTCCTCCGCTGGGAATTAGTTTGGCCCACAGATCCGAAGTATTTTGCTTAGACAGGTGTTAATAAACACTTGTATCTTCTGGATGATGGCTTTCGTGGTTTTCCAGGTTTCCGCCCCATACAGTAGAACTGTCTTCACATTTGTATTGAAAATTCTGACTTTGGTGTTGGTTGCCAATTGTTTTGAGTTCCAGATATTCTTCAGTTGTAAATATGCTGCTCTTGCTTTGCCAATCCGTGCCTTCACATCTGCATCAGATCCACCGTGTTCATCGATGATACTGCCCAAATATGTAAAGGTTTTTACATCTTCCAAATCTTCTCCGTCAATTGTGATTGGATTGGTGCATGCTGTGTTGTATCGGAGAATCTTTCTTTTCCTCTTGTGTATATTGAAACCAACTGCTGCTGCTGAGGCTGCTGCTACACTGGTTGTCTTCTCCTGCATTTGTTGTTGCGTATGCGACAGAAGAGCCAGATCGTCTGCGGAGTCTAGATCATCCAATTGCATCCTAAATGCCCACTGTATCCCGTGCTTCCTCCCAGATGTTGACGTCTTCATGATCCAGTCGATCACCAGGAGAACGAAAAAGAGTAAGAGAAAGCAACCTTGCCTGACACCGGTCCTTACTTCAAACGACTTTGTCAACTGCTCTCCATGCACGACTTTGGAGTTGAGTCCATCATAGGGATTCCGTGTGATATTAACTATCTTCTCAGGTATACCGTAGTCTCGAAGAAGCCTCCATAGTGTTGTTCTGTCCACGCTGTCAAATGCTTTTTCGTAGTCAATGAAGTTGATGTAGAGTGATGAATTCCATTCAATTGATTGTTCCACAATGATCCGTAGAGTTGCGATTTGGCCTGTACGTGATCGGTCCTTAAGGAATCCTACCTGTTGATCGCCAAGTTGGGCGTCTACGGAGTCTTTTATTTTGTTTAATCTTACCTGTCGAGGACTTTTCCTAATATTGGGAGAAGAGTAATGCCCCTGTAGTTATCACAGTTTCTGAGATCGCTTTTCTTCGGTATCTTGATGAGGAATCTGGCTAGTGTTTTGTTAGCGAGTTAGTTTTCTACGGGATGGGGTCGCTAACCTTATGTCCAACCCTCCTCCTTTATCCGGGCTTGAGACCGGCAGTAGCACAAGAAGGGCTCCCAGCGGAGATAATTTAATATTTACCTAAATGTAAACTGATAATTAAATTCATGGTCAAAGGATTACTGAACAGCTCTCTTCATGGTTGGAAAACGGTTTCATAAAATCAATATACAGCTCTGTTTTTACACCTTAACGATGGCTTTTACATAGTAGATAGAACTAAAGCGTCCAAAGTGGTTTAATATTGTATACTTCAAAATTTTTCTTAATAAGGACGATTTAATCTGCTATACATAAAAGAAGCTATAGAAATTCGAGCTAATTACCCCGGTCTCTGTGTTCCTTAGAAAATTTCACTACCTTCTGTCTTTTATTTATCCGGATATGACTTACCAAACGTTTCAACCAGTTTTTCACACTCTGTTTATTCTTCTTTGTTAGTTATATTTTTTAATCTAATTAGTCACATGTTTCTTATTGTGTACATTTTAATGACTATTATTTTATTAAGCTTGTTCATCAAGCTATAACCTATTTCCTATGTTATTATATTAATTCATTTCGCTTATTGTTCCTACTTTTATTAATATTCATGCCACCTTATTATCGAATCACGCTGTTTAATTAAGACTATTAGTCATGTAATTATTTTGCATTGTTATGATTGACTGATAAACTATCTTGATTGTGATAAGATGGTGGTTGAAGGTAGTCAACAGGAAACCCAGGACCTAGGTTTCGTGCTACTTGGCACTCGTCAGCAATGTGTACTTATAATATTGAGGGAACTGATGCTCCCTGACATATTCGATCCCATGTCACCCAGCTTCACAGTCAGAGACGATATCACTAAGCTATTATTATTATTATTATATTTCTACCTGTTCAGGGTTATTTTCATTAGTAAAACAGCTTTACCCTATACGGAAAATATAATTGTACGGAAGTGATTTACGAGTTATACAATTGACATAATGATAAGATTAAACCATTAGCGTGACTACGACTTAAGATTTTATTATTATATTCTCCAGAAATTTTCCGGTCAATCAGTGATTATCTCAATGAAATCTTTGTGATTTAAATGAAGGCTTAATTAAAGTGATCAAAAAATAATATTCTAGAAGAAACGAATGGTTTAGAAAACAATATTGTGTGAGAGCTTAAAATTAAAGAAATATTTTATTTCAGCAACGAAATATGAATTCATTCACTGTTCAATAGAAAATTTTATTTATTTATTCAACACCAGACAAATGCGATATCTGTTTGGTTATTAGATAAGAATCCTCGGATGTGCTCTTCCGCGATCCCGCGGCGTTTGATGTTCAGATCATTTAGTCGTTATTTAATGGTGTGCAAGTTTAATTTTAGTCAACTTACTATATCATTCTCTTATTGTCTGCGGTGAATAAATATCCTACACCCGATATGACTAGCTTCAGCTTTTTACTAAAACTCCTGAAATTATATACAGAAGTTAACCACTGATGAGTCTATGATTATTACTGGTGAAATCTGGGCTCAATTTCCTGTGGGATCAAGGATCCGAACCACTGCAGAGTCCCACACAAAGACTAAATATATGTTCATTGGTTTTTTATTTTTAATAATTGTTAAGCTAGTAGCACTCCTTAACGTAAACCATGAAAATTCAATGGTCTCCATAACCCACTTATACTTATCAAAAAATAAGATGAAGGCACTACAAAGCCTTACAGTTCTTTTCTTTGTATTCCATATTTTCATGAATAGATTTGCGATTCTAGTTTTAATTATTGATTTTGAGGATAAGTGATGCAATGTGGTCTGCGGTTTGATATTGTTATTGTTACCATAACAATAGCTTCATTCAACATAGTATATTTGCAATTAAACTTCCCAGTGATTTCGTTGCGTTTGATACTAAGTCGCAAAAATATGAACATTTTTCGATTACAGCACAACCTATTTCTTCCGTTCTTATTTGAACACGAAAGCTGGGTTTTGTTTTGGGAAACAGCGCTGGATTGGTATGTCTAGAGATATTAGTCGATATTACGTACTGTAGTGAACGAAAACTCAGGGGCAGTAAATTTATTTATTGTTTAATGCAAAATCACACCTTGCATTTGCACATCTTTCTTCAGTTGTCCTTTATGTACTCCATCATTGTTCTAATTTTGTTGTAATTCCGATTGATCTTATTTTTCTTCCTGCTTTCTCTATTCCAATCTTCTGCTGATAAGTGTTCTAATTCCTATTCCCGCTACATACTACTCGTATCTGTCCACAGAACAGTACTGTATCGCCAAACGGACTGATTTAGTTCACGAATGTACACAATGGTCAATGAACAACCAAAGATTTATTGCTTATTGGTTGACGAGCCTGAGTAGCTAATCAAAAGATTCAGACAGGAAGTGGATCGATTCTCTGTTGTACTCGATTTGATCACATAATAATATACTTGAAATGCTTGACCAAAAATACACTAAATAAGGAATCAGCCTTTAAACACAATTATATCATAAAACAAAAAGGTCGGTGGAAATAGTACTTTACTTATGAGCAATAATTAGGGAACCGTAAGACGTATGACAACAGCCATTAGTTCCACTAAAAGGTTACAATTAGGGTAATATAGAAACGCAATCATTTAGTTATATACTGATTATATTTACTAATTATACTCATCTGGTGGCCTACTTGAATAACTGTTCAACCTGTTCTTACTGTCTAGATATTCCAACAAGTCACCTGTTTTTTGGTCGTTTTAAAACATCATGTTCATTAATCGCATAACATATTCAGGAGCCTTTATGAAAAGTTTGCGAGCATTCACTTTACAACTAACTATAAAGTACATTCAGAGACATCGTGGTTGCTGGTAATATACATTGAAAAGAACGAACATTATCGAGATGTCGATTCCTGAACTGCTAACATCTAAGGTGGACTTGTGTCTTGATTGTGGTTAAATGATTCGCAATACGATTGCTCAGAATGTCTACAATATTTCAATATTTATCATCAGGATCGATCAAGAAATAAGAAATAGAAACTTGTTGAAATACTTTGTCCTGAGAATTCTATATTGTACCAACAATATAATATTGAATAAAGTCATGATGGTATAGTTTCAATCAACTTATGAATTCAATCATCAAATTACTACAATTTACACAAAACTCCTCTGATTATAATAATCATATTCTCACCAGTGACTGAATTCAAGAGGTATTTCTTGGAATTCTAGTGAGAAGCAGTGACCAGTGAAGTTCAACCAGGTCTATTGTGAGATAGTAACTCACTGAAGACAATGCTGGATGTGTCGATCGATTTCGTGAATTGGTTGGAGTTAGAAATTAACACCGTTGGATGCCTGCCTGCTGAATGGTCTAGTGATAAAGCGATCGCGAGCGGTGCTGATAGGTCCTGTGTTGGAATCTCGCGGGGTTTGGGATCGTGGATGTGCACTGTTGAGGAGTCCTATACTAGGATATAACGGCTGTCTAGTGCTTCAAGGTATCCCATGGTGGCGAGCTTAGATTGATTCATAAATTTAATTATTAAATAGGAATTATTATTAGAAGGGTATAGATAACAATCCGAAAAATAACTCCAAAGATTTCAACTTACCAAATGTTCATCTTACCATATAAACTCGTAGATTTTGTGGGTAACTATTATCTTGCGAAGACTTTTCAACTACATTTAATTCCTTTTTAATCTATTCTTCTTAACAAATGACATCTACCAATTGGCCAAATAGGATGGTCTATCCTTGCAAAAGACACTAAGAGTTGATTTCATTTTCATTTTGGTAATTTTTATTCAATATGCTTTAAAAGAAGCTTTGGTTAAGACACTAATCAATCATCTTCGGAAATTATATTCAGAGGAGTAAATTGAAGACGAATTCATTGTATCTGAAAATGGTCTGACATATTATTATTGAACATAAAAGGTACGAGAACAAAAGAAATGAAATATACTACGGTCAAGAAAAAACTGAACTTTCAACGATAAGTAGCTGAGAATAATAATTTTGGACTAAGTTTATCATCAAAACAATATGTATGGGCTATCAGTAGAATAGTAGATGTTTGTTTGGTTTTACTTAGTGACTAGTTAGTTGAATGTAATATACAATACTATGTTGTGATTCATTTTGAAATTAAAGGTCAGAATTAATTTCAGATTTCAAGATTTTACTTACTAAATTACCAATTCACAATACTTGTCTCTTGGTCAGTTGTATGGATCAAATCTAATACAGTTTTAACCTTTAATTTTTATGGAGTTGTATTATTGATAATATCAAGATTAATTATTAAGCTAAATGAATTGACATCATTATACATTAACTTAAAAACTACTTATATTCAGCTAGTAGAAAATAGTTAACTTCAGTTTTCATACTTAATGTCATCTATTGTTTGAGTGAACTGTCATTTCTGAGAATAAAACTTATTCAAGTCATTCCATATGGTAGTGAATTGATTATGTTCTGTCAGAAACAGTTTTAATTGCATCCTAGTTATCAATACTCTAATATATATATACGAAAATAATAACCGCTGAAACCTAGGGTAAATACCATTAAGCCAGGGTACATGCAGTCCAGCACAAAGCCAGACTCATTGAAACATCCACAAGATAATCGACAACTAATTATCGATGTCGATGAACTCTAACAAACATTTTTTTAAATAATAGTAATAATGACAGTACAAAATAGTAATTATATGATCATGATAAATAACTGGTGATTTATTTTACACTAGAGACTGAACTGAATCATTCATAAATAAGTGAAATAATAATTGAATAAACCGGGAGAGATGTAAATTTGTACAAAGTTTGGATCTTATATAATTAAGTTTTACAATTTTCTCATAATTTATTATCAGTTCATAATGAAATTTTAATAATCATTATAATCATACTATTTCAGTATAGAAATTAAAGAACCGATATTGGTGATTAAAACAATTAACGGGAATTCATAGCGGAGGACACTCAATATTTTCTTCAAATAGTAAAGAAGTCAATCAGATTTTGAGTTATTATTGACTAAAACAAGTTATTTTAGTAGTTGAACTCATGAATCAATCTAAGTTAGACTACCATTGAAAATAAGGAAGCACTGAACGGCTGTTTCGTCCTAAGATTCCTGATAAGTAAGCATCCGCGATCCTGCACTTGGAACTCGAACCCAGGATCTACCATTTCGCGCGCGAACGCTTAGCCTCTAAATAATTAAGCCGGCATTCACAGGTGTTAATGTCCGATTTAAATCGATCCATGATCATGAATACTATACTAGGACGAAACGGCCGTCTAGTGCTCCCAGGTTTTCAACGGTGGTCTAATTTAGATTAACTTATGAATTCAACTATTAAAATTACTAAAATCTCCATGAATCCCAATTCTGATAAAATAATTTAAACAAAACCCAATAAGAATTTGGCGGAATGCATGAATAATATTTGTACACGGAAATGAAATTGTATGATGAAAGAAAAGGATATATGGAATTAAAGATTATTGCTAAATCATGTTTAAAATAGATGTTAAACAATTAAAACTCATTATCGTGGTTTATCAGTATATTAGCTAATATTAGGGAAAATTTTAAACATTTACCATTATTATGATTATTAGTAGTATAACGGTTACATGTTATTCAGTATGTAGGGACGACATAGACGATGAATAATTGCATATAAAATACTGGTCATTGATTTATTTAGAACATATGGATTGTGGATAGCTATGGATTTCAGTAGGTGAACTTCATCCTATTTGGGACTCATTAGCTGGATATATCTACATGATAATTTCGGTAACCACATTAGCACTTGAATCTAGTATTGTTCCTTTTACACTACAATGAGTTATCTACTGAGTTACTGTATTCAGAAGGCCACTAACTTCAACGGATATGATGTTGGTAACATTATTAGTATGAGTTTAAGATAATCTGTTTATATCCAAGACTGAATTCGGTGAGACTATAATTTATGCACGACCTTTGAGGAACGTTGAAGTGACCCTAAGAATATCCACCTATTAACCAGAACTGAATGACGGTTATAAAGCAGGGTGAAGAATTAGAATTATGATTTACAGTTGATGGTTAGGGTTAGGAATTAAACTTAGAGTTTTTATCATGAACTAATATCAACTAAAATTTCAAGACGCTATTTAACCAAATGGATGAATGAATTTCACATCAAAATTCAAGACCTGTGATCTTATATTTGATTGAGGTTCATCCATAAATTATAATCTCATCTTGAATTCTAATCAATTAAAACGCCCATAATAAAGCAATCCAACTCGGATGAGTAGATATGTCAATCATGACCTATGAAGATTCACTCGTGAATATCAATAACAACATAATTCATTTACTTGCCATCTACTTGACATGAAATTGCACTTGTTAATAAAATCTAACAATCATATAATAAATACTTAATTTGCAAAATGTCCATCAATTGTCTCCAAATGACTCAGACTTCATTGCTCTTGAATTTTCATACAAATTGCATTCAGTTTTCATTCTTTACTATTCGATCTTATTGTCTCTCTGCTGCCAAACATTCTGTTCACGACTAACGTCATATACTACTTATGTCGATAAGTAGCACACCACAGTACTAGTACGTCACTTAAAAGTAACGTATAGATTCATTTCAAAGTTGACTTTTGTACATTTGAACAACTATAATGTAGATTTCATACATGTTTATCATATTTTTCTGTTATAACTAAGCTTAAAAATATGAAACCAAATATTGACTATCAAGCTAAATTGGAATTATGTAATATCTTCATATGAAATAACATTTTAATTTAACAAAAGATAATGTTAATTTAAATATTGTATTTTTTTCAATATTAAATATAAATTAGAAATGGATAGATCACAATTTAATATGGAATCCAAATGAATACGGTGGTATTGATTCAGTGACTATACCTGTGGAATATCTGTGGATACCCGATATTTCACTTTATAATTAGTAAGTATATCTAGATGATTCATTAATTTAATCATTATGAATCATAAATTTTAGAAATTTGGTGTTACATTAAATGGTTTATTGTTTGTAAAAATGATCTTAAATGTAATTATTATCTATGTGATTATTCCTACAATTCGTATATAAATTAATAGGATAACTGTCCTCATGACAATTCCTGACAATTTATGGTCTTTAAAAGGCATACCAAATTACTTTGAATAATGACGTAACCGTCAAGTACATGGGGAGAGAGAGAAAGGAATGAATAGATAAGTATTTATCAAGCAAATAAATGTGGAAACTGTCCAATTTCAATGACCTCACAATCCAATATATAAGCGGATAAGGCATTATTAGTTAAGTGTGGATACATTTAAAATATTTATTGCTTAAGCAGATAAGCGGAACAAATTTACATGTGGATACATACATCTTACAATATATGGGAATATCGCCGAATTAATAATTATTAAAACAAGCCTAATTTAAGTACTTGACAAATTTGAATGTGTAAAACCTGTGAGTGCATCAAGCGATTGCACGACATCCTAGATAAATATACTTCAATGTTTATCGATCGTTGTGTTCTTTTGCTGTCAAAATTACTCTAGTAAGAATAATTTTTTTAGAAGGTCTTAATAATTGAAATCTAATAATTTATCAGGCTCATGGTATATAATGCACCCTTAGATATTGGAGTGTTCATACATTCGATTGAACACTATAGAATGATTTTTTGTGATTGAAGTGTTAAGTTACAAAAAGCTCTTAAAATACTGTAAAATTATTTCAATATACCTAATGAACTTATTTAGTTTAGTTCTACTGTAGTTAAATATAGAAGGTTTATTGTTTGCAAAAGTTAATAGAATATAATCCACCTGTTAGAACTCTTCAACACAGCTCGTTATAACATGCGATTTTATATGGAAACGAAAAGAAAAAGTTCACTTTCTTTACATTGTCACACAATGAAAAGCAAACGGGATCTTTTCATATTTGGTCTATCGAGAAAGTTCTTGGAACAGAATAGTTTTAGTCCAGTCAATCACAAGAAAGTGTTAATCAAAACACTTTTATGGAGAAAAATGAATATGTGCCACCGATGAACTGGAAGAAGAATTAATAAATATGGAAAATTCATGAAATGATAATTGCTAATCATAAACATTCACTGAGAAATGTAAAAAGAATAAAGACAATATGAAGAATATCGCAACAGTCATTGAAAATCAATAAGTAAAGGGGAAATGCAGTAATAATAATAATAATAATAATAATAATGGGATAATCAAAATAATTAAGGCCAAGGTAACGATAACAGCGAATAAACTTCACTAGTAGGAATTTATTTTCTGTATCCATAAAGGATAAACTTCCGTGTATGGTCGCCTCTATGTGCATCTACCAGTTCACCCGCTCTTGTGAAGCAAGGTACATTGGCCGTAGCCAGCGCTTACTTTCAACTCGGATACGGGAACATATCCCAGCTTGGTTCTATAAGGGTGAAAGTAAAGCAGTTAGGAGTTCTATACTCGAGCACCTAATCGACTGTAACCATTCTACGGATCCACAAATTGATTTTAAGGTTGTTTATATGATTCGTCCAAATCTAGCCAGATTTCTTCGTATCCAACTCTTAAAAATAGCCGAAAATCTTACCATTCAGGAGCCTAAACCAGAACTATGCGTACAAAAGAAGTACGTCTTATCGCTATCGTTACCTTGGCCTTAATTATTTTGATTATCCCATTATTATTTTGATTATCCTATTATTATTATTATTACTGCATTCCCCCTTTACTTTATGTCTTATATTCATTATTTTATTCGTAAATGCTCATCATATCACCTTATTTATTTTTACACCTCTATGACCTTTAATTATTATAACAAAAACATTTTAATCATCTTATTATATTTACTAAATCTATTGTTATTATTCGTATTACGTAATCTAGTATTACAACCTTTTTATTACGTCATGGTTAACTGTGTTCACATTTCCTCACGGAATTAGTACTTTTACAAATACAAAATTTTCATATATATACGATTATACAGCTTGATAATAAATTCGTTGAAAAGAGATCCCTTCGCTGAACTTCGTGTTTTAATTTTAATAACTACTTAACAGTTGAATCAGTTACACTAAGAAAATAAATCAGAAACTTATTTAATTAACTTACCAATAAACTTTCAATAGTCGAAATCATGAGTCCATTGAAGCTAGACCACCATGGAAAACCTGGACGCACTGAACGACCGTTTTGTCCTAGTATGGGACTTCTTAGCAGTGCGCATCCACGATCCCGCCTCGCGAGATCCGAACACAGGACCTATCAGTCTCGCGCGAGAGCGCTTAACCATTAGACCACCAAAGCTATCACCGGCATTCCAAAATCTCCACAAAACCCCTTCTAACAATAATCACCTGCTCACTAGTGACTGAATTCAAGAGGTATTTCTTGGAGTTCTAGTGAGAAGCCGTGACCAGTGAAGTTCAACCAGGTCTATTGTGAGATAGTAACTCACTGAAGACAATGGTGGATGTGTCGATCGATTTCGTGAATTGGTTGGAGTTAGAAATTAATACCGTTGGATACCGGCCGGCTCAGTGGTCTAATGGTTAGGCGCTCTCACGCGAGATTGATAGGTCCTGTGTTCGAACCTCGCGGATTCACACTGCTAAGGAGTTCCATCCTAGGACGAGGCGGCCGTCTAGTGCTTCAAGGTTTTCCATGGTGGTCTAGCTTCAAATGACTCATGATTTCAAATCTTGAAATTTGTAGAATCTCCACAAAACTCCTTCTGATATTCACCAATAAAACTTAATAAATTGAATGTTCAATTACTTGATTTTCAAATAATCATAGTAACAAGGAAATAAGTTGATCGAGTGTTTTTTGTTTGTTTTTTCTGTTTCACTGAAGCCGCTGATATCCTTAGGATATAAAGAACTAACGTATTAATATACGGTCAATGAATTTAGATGAATAAATATAATTGGATATTATCATTTTAAATTACAACACACCTAAATAGTTAATTATTTTTGTACTGAATCACTTAATACACTGAAGTAATTTCAATAGTTGAGATCATGAGTCAATTGAAGCTAGACTACCATGGAAAACCTGGAAGCAATGGACGGCTGTTTCGTCCTATTGTGCGATTCTTTAGCAGTGAGCATCCCCAAAGTAATGCATAAACATATATTAGTGGTTAAGTCGAATTAAAACCATACTGATTCACTGTTTTTTTAAAAGAAATTATTTTTTTGAAATTCCCAGAGATATTACTATTCGATTACATAATGCACAATTTAATCTAAACTATCAATTAGACAAAATAACATATAAATATCATCCTGTACTTTATTTTGCTTGACCTGATATCTACTATTAACAGTTTCTATTTAATTAACTTTAATAAATTATATTTTAGGTAAGCATGAATGTAATTAGTTAAGTCGTTCATTTTATCGTTGGCAATTTCACACCACATAATGTTTCAAAGGTTTCAATATAAAATTTTTTTTAATGTTTAATAAGTAGTGTAGAATTTTATTTTGGAAATTTTTTTCATGATGACAATCAACTGTAAATTGTTTTAGTTTAAGTCTTTAACGTTCATCATAAAAATACTTAGAAACCATCTAAGGGAAGTCTTCGACACTAAGTTAATATTAAATTTTCTTATCATTGCAGGTGTATTGAATAAAAGATGGACTGTCTTATACTAAATTCAAATCAATCTATAGATGGTGGTTGGAGGTAGTCGAAAGGAAACCCTGGACCCGGGTTTCGTGCTACTTGACACTAGTCAGCAAGGTGTACCTGTAGTCTTTAGGAAACTGGTGCTCCCTGACGGACTCGATCCGGTGTCACCCAGCTCCACAGCCAGAGACGTTACCACTGAGCTATCCGGGCCGCGACCGGCCTCCTGTAGGACTGAGATGTAATCACAATTGATTGGTCACTGGTTGATGATCACTGTCATGTGTGTCTAGTCCTTATCTAATCTCACAATAGTACACGCAGTTTCGAATCATCTAGACTGGTGGCCACATCGCAGCATTCGATCTGCACTAATAAGGACTAGACACGTATAGCATTGATCACCACCCAGTGATCAATCAATTGTGATCAATCTATAGGATGTACCAAATTTATTATTGCTTTGTGATTCAGAAATGTATATTTATAGAGATAAACAACAAAAGTGGTTTCTTTATTATTACGTCTTTTTGTGGGGGGGGGGCTGGTTGACTTAATTATGAGCTTTCATTGTGATTCTAGTCAACACAGAGATTACTTCTATTTTGAATATACAGTGATGACATTATTCATAACAAGGATGGTAGCTCTTCAATAAATAAGTCAGCTCAGAACTACAGTGAACTTTAGATAATGACTATAACAAATGTCGGATATTCAAGAATTTAAACCAAGTTTATTTAGATCGTGCAAATATCCACAAGGAAAGTAGTATTACGATTGGTTATGAATATGGATTAATGATTATAAATAATATATATGCTTTAAAATATTGTTATGAACAGTTTCTTTTTCCTTGAAACTTTATCTAATTAAATATAATCAATCATAAATACCATGAATAATTAGTTATTCTAAGCCAGTTATATATTTTGATTTAAGTAAATAATCACTGATTAAATATGTACAAAATTTTACAACTGTGTCCTAACAACCACATAGTTTCATATTTCGGAAACAGATTGACTCAAGAATACTGTTACTAGATATACATTCATTAGACAATCTTTAGACAGTATGATATTAGTCAATCAAAAACTCAATATTGATAACACAAATTAAGCATATTAATCATTGTTACTACTGAATAATAGTCAGTCAAAACAATCACTTAGTAATGACAAACATATTGTTGTGTTTAAGTGTGGGGGTACGGGTGAATGACATTAGTTTTATGGACATGGTATTGTACATTTAAGAGTAGGAAATAAGTATAAA